GTCAGATGATGATGGTGATAGTAAGTAAACTTTGAATGATTTAATAATGAGAAAACTCAGAAAAGAAACAACTACATTATCTAACCACTTTTTACCGAATAACTAAGATTACACAAACACGTCGCCACATACTTAACTTGCGCATAATTTCCATAATTATTCAGTTAAAATAAAATCAAACAACCAATTTGAGAAAAGGCGCGGGTGTGTCCATTTTCGCGGAAAGTCGTGACGATGTCAATTATGTCATTCTAAGTTGACAGCCTTGAATCTCAGCCTATTGGCTACAAATTATAGATAAATAATATAGAACGTCGACTTTAAAAGAGTTCAGCCCCCCTAGACAAAACGCACTTTTTGATCGAATCGAAAATCGAATCCGTCAAAACTCCATACAAAAAAGGGGCTTGTCGACCACTTTTCGACTGGTTTGCGATTATAATTTGCACTTTGTCTAGACCCACTGACATACTGGTAATGCTTTTTTTTTTATCCACGATGAGGAATTTCTTGGCCTGCATCTCACCTGATATTAGAAGATTTCAGATTATAGATAGATATAAGTAGCACGTTCATTGTAAAAAAAAAAAACTTTAAACGTAGTTATAGTTTAGTAAATTATTTTAGTTAAATTAGCCCGCTTTTTAGTACCCATTTTTTAGTCTAGTGCCCATAGTACAAGCTTTGCTTAGTTTGGGACTAGAAGCGCAGTGTAAAATGTCCAAGGATATTTATTTATTTATTATTATTTATTATTTTTCGATAAAGCTGATAAGAAAGATAGCGTGCTCTAAAATCACGAAGATCGTCCTATTTACTTCCTATTTCGATGATATTCGAGGTTAAGTTAGTTTATCGTGAGTAAAGTGACTTGATGAAGACCTCGGGTGAGGTCAGCCCCCCTAGACAAAACGCACTTTTTGATCGAATCGAAAATCGAATCCGTCAAAACTCCATACAAAAAAGGGGCTTTTCGACCACTTTTCGACTGGTTTGCGATTATAATTTGCACTTTGTCTAGACCCACTGGTGTTGACCTGTCAAAACTCTCCTTGAATATTTTGACAGGTAGAAGACACGCCACTTAATTGTTTCTTGAGTGTTGACTCTAGATTGATCAATATGATTTGTATTGTAATATATGGGTGTCAATGTGTCTGACATTGTAAGATTGATATGTATTTATATTTATTTGTGTTTTAGAAATTAGATTTGTCATTGTTTAGTTACTACCTGTATTTTATGTTTTCGTAGTGTAGACCTGAAACTTGTCATCAAAACTGACTTGCACATAATTTTAACCAACTTACAGATGTCCCCAGCATTGTATATTGTATTTCATATTATTTTTAATAAAACGTACTTTATTTCTGACATTCGAAAAAACATTATTATATTGAATGCATANGATGCACAAAGGTAAAAGCATTTTTATTCGTCAACTCAGCAATCATTTAATAAAATTATCTTCAAAACTGATGAAACATCTTGTTTTGGGATGAGCATAATAATATTTATGATTATACCCGCATACTTTATTATGACCACTTCTCACTTCTCTTGAATCTCAAAAGCGTCAACGCAGCGTGTGCGCACAAAAAGTGTCGATAAATTAAATAATCCGCCGTTTGCGGGTATAATGAGATTCCCATCATGAAGTTGAGTGTTTTATATTCGGCGGCCGTTCAAAAATGCCTTCACGGGTGGTTATAGGGTTGGCGATCGGAAAAATAAACCAAAAATGTACAATTACCTTGTGTTAGCCTAACATCATACAAATTTAATTATGTAGATTGTAGACCATACTTTTTATGGTCACTAAAAGAAACATCCAGTTGGAATGCACTATATTTAGACTAAAAAATGATTTTTTAACAAACAGTGGAAACGACAGTGTTTTTAAAATAAAAAGTTTTGAAATTTTCACTCGGAATATTCAAATGCCTTGGATGCAATATCAACCCGTAAGTTAAGTATTTTATTTATGCTAATTGTTATCTAGTCGCTACTTTACAACCTACCGGTATTGGTTTTAGATGGCAAAGATGTAATAAAAATTATTCAAACCATCCAATTTTCTTCTTTTCTTTTTTCTTTTGGTAACCCTAAAAAAGTAGCACAAGCATTCACACGCGGAATGCCCCGTCCAAGCCAACGCTATGGGCATTTATTTTGACAGATCGTATCTTTTGTTTATTATGCGCTTTAGCACGCAGAGGAGTCATGAGTTCCAATACCAATAAATTAATACCACTTATGTATTGCATTCCATTTTGTGAGTAAGCTGACAGACGTAAGGTCAGTTAGTTCATAAAAAATAAGCGAATCTTTGAATAATATTGATTTAAGAATACACCCGAAACTAGTCTAGCGCATATAAAAACGTTTCTAAATATTCTAATAAATACATACATTTTTGCAACTGGTTTTTTATAGTAGCATTTACAGATCTTAGGACGGGTTGAACCGGTTCCTGATAAAGTTTCAGATAGTTATCTGACGCATGTATAACGCTATCTAACAACTAAGGCTGCTGATTTACCAGTGATGTTATAAGCCAGATAACTTACTAATATAAGCTTTCATGCAGGAAAATTGTGAAATGACTCAGAAGTTAATCGATGTTTAATTAGATCGTTTTGCCTAAATAAAAAGGAAAAGAAACACTCAGTTTCAAAAAGAAAAATCTGTAGGCCATGTAGGTATATTAAACCTTTCAGTATAAACCTTTCCTGGAAAAAATAAAAATAAAGTGTCCTTACAAACCTTCACAAAAAAGTTCAACAAGTAATTTTTAATCAGGAAACACATAAATTATTATAATTGCACAAAAGCATTCAACAGCACACACGTAAGACATAATTGTAAAAAACGTCCAATGCAACATGTCTGTTGTAAGAAATTACTGATTTAATGAAAATATTCATAAGCGAAGAAGCCATAAAAATATTAAGGAAAGTTATAAACTCATTCACATAAATGCATTGATGATACTTACAGGTAACTTAACTACGGATTTAAACTGTATATCAACGACATACGGTATTTGTTCGCTTGAAGTCTACTCGACGACTACTGTTTAGTGCTGCGCCACCTTTAGCTTCACCATACCCTGAGTGTACGTTTGTTTGTAAGCACATCAACCTTAATGTGTAGACATTGGGATAGTTCTTATTGCACGGAAAATATGGGCTACACTTGCAGTGCAACTGTTGCACTTGTTGTGCCGTCGGTGTACCTACAAATGACGTAGAAAGGAAATCACTGACTAATGTGGGATTTCCCGTAAGTCATCACCAAGGGGCTTTTAAAAAGGGGAAAAGTTTTATGGAAAGTCGCCATTTTTGTAATTTGGAAATCTGTATCCTGCTCTGGGCATAAAGCAAGTAGGTACCTACTTAATGTAAATGTTATATTAAGAAAGTGGGCTTCTGCTGACATAAATAAATAAAGGCTGGTGTCTCTCAGTCAAAGATAAAAAAATATATATGAACATAAACTTTAATAACGCATTTCCTTTGTAACGTTAATTTAATATTGCATGAGCAATTCACAATCTTCGTGTACAAAATCGCCAACAGCCGCCATTGCAAAAATTCTGGCATTATAATAAAGATGAGTTAGGATGTCATACATAAAGATGTATTGCTGAGAAAATCTAACACACACATTCACCGCCTCTCATTAATCATTGCACAAGGCTTGCGTGCTATGCGTTGCAAAAGGAAACATACATAGTGTGGTCATGTCATAATACGACTTACGATTTGAGAAAAATGGGCGGGCAATTTTGGAGATAACGGTTGGGGTTAGGGCAAAGACCACGTCATAGGAAATGGAATGAAAATCTTTTTTCTTTTTTTTATGGCAAAGACATTCCAACCTAAAGCCTAAGCTCACAACGTTTATTAAGTTTAACATACCGTCGACGCGCGTTTGTAACGATAAAGTCGCGATATACATGAAAATCGGACTCGGACCCAATTTATAGACTTTTGTAGGAGAAAAACGTGATGTGCACATGCCCTAAAATTTCACCTGTCTCGTATGGATGAAAATCTATAAAGGTTATCTACTTAATACCTACCTAAATCTATAAAGTGTTTCATGTCGGCCAAGAGTCGACATTTTCAAGCTTTGATTTTTTGAGACCTACGAAATATATCACAAGAATCACTGAAAATTTAAACCTTTTCTTTTAAATTAACCAGATGTTTCATTGCTAGTATTTTCATAGACTCTACCTTCTATTGACGCTACACTATTACGTTATGAAGGTGTGTAATTCAACATGTAACTAAAATTATCCAGTGTATCATCAGCCTTAAGATGTTCCAAATTATGACTGGCAAGTCAAACCACTTTCGCCGAAATTACTCCGGTTGTTTTCGTCGCGTGCGCACGTCGTAACATCAGCTGATGGCGACCAAAGTCTACAACACATGTTCTAATTCAAAGGAAACCCAGTTCTAATTCAATTGAAAATACAATTACCTAAGTACGCTGTACTTTTCAGTTTTAGGAATCCTGCAATGTATAATACATATCGCTACGCATCAGGAAATTAATATTTCATAGCCTATATTTCTATTAATATCCTCATCGAATTATGTTTTATATACTTCTAAAACGAACCTTGTTTTTAGTCCAATAAAAAGACCACTTGCCGACAAATAAGGCAGTGGCGATAAAAAAAAATCAAAATAACAAAATGTTGCTGGCTGAAAAGAAAAAGTTCACATGACATAAAACGGAAAAAATATTTGCTCGATTTAAAAAAAACTTTGACGTTTTACACTTTTCCCGCTAATTTTCATTTCAAAAAAAGACAAATTTTAATGCATCAGCGAACGGTGATTTTTTTTACCATTGAATATTCAAACTAATTTAACCGCCACGTTCAGACATCCGAAATATTGAAAAAGTAGACCGTTAAATTAGCATTCACTCGTCCAGCTTTAAATAAACATCAATTAAAACGTTATTTGTCTTTTTTGCAGAATGTACGAGTTGCAACGACGACGACCTGGGCGTCACGCGGTGGACAATGCCTCTACTCAAGTCGGGGGAGAAGCGGTATTACTTAGGCATATTTTTCAAGGTAAGCTATAAAATAATCATACGTATCAATTTCTTAGGGTTCCGTAGTCCTGACAAGGAACCCTTATAGTTTCGATATGTCTCTGTCCGAGGTTTTTTTTAAACTAGGCACAAATATGTCAGGCTTCGTTAGAGGTCAGCTTAATATAAATAATTAATTAGGACTTTCAAAACTCTAGTATAAATTAATATTCAATTGAATAATAATATCTTTAACACTAGAATGATACTATACTTACGGCCTACAATTAAATAGTTTTATCAAAGAATAATTATACTTAGGTTCTTCTTATCGATTTATTAAATATTGAATAACTGAAATTATCAATTCAAATGAATTATTTACACGTAATATTGTTCCTCGTTCTGTATTAACAAAAAATCAAGCTAATATGGATCCAAAAGGTCTAACTACTTTTTTACCATAAATTATCTAGTTAGTCTAAATTGAACCCTACTGAGTATTTGACATGACTAATGACAAGTCAGACTGACCGTGAACTTTCAGTAGTAACAAAAAAAGTATCCGTTTGAACCTTTAAATAATTAACTACTTAATCTTCACAGGTGTGAAAAAGTTAATTGTAGGTATCTTTGTAGTTATAAGCCAGATAACTTACTAATATAAGCTATCATGCAGGAAAATTGTGAAATGACTCAGAAGTTAATCGATGTTTAATTAGATCGTTTTGCCTAAATAAAAAGGAAAAGAAACACTCAGTTTCAAAAAGAAAAATCTGTCGGCCATGTAGGTATATTAAACCTTTCAAAAAAGTTCAACAAGTAATTTTTAATCAGGAAACACATAAATTATTATAATTGCACAAAAGCATTCAACAGCACACACGTAACAGACATAATTGGAAAAAACGTCCAATGCAACATGTCTGTTGTAAGAAATTACTGATTTAATGAAAATATTCATAAGCGAAGAAGCCATAAAAATATTAACGAAAGTTATACACTCATTCATATAATAAATGCAATGATGATACTTACAGGTAAGTTAACTACAAATATAAACTGTATATCAACGGCATACGGTCTTTGTTCGCTTGAAGTCTATTTGACATCTGTTCAGTGCTGCGCCACCTTTAGCTTCACTATACCCTTGGCCTAAGTGTACAAAAGCACCTCAAGCTTGACATGTAGATATTGAGATAGTTCTTATTGCACGGAAAATATGGACTACACTTGCAGTGCAACTGTTGCACTTGATGCGCCGTCGTTGTACAAATAACGTAGAAGGGTAATCACTGACTAACGTGGGATTTCCCGTAACTCATCATCAAGGGGCTTTTAAAAAGGGAAAAGTTTTATGGAAAGTCGCCATTTTTGTAATTTGGAAATATGTATTCTGCTCTTAGCATAAAGCAAGTACCGATATTATTAAGAAAGTGGGCTTCTGCTGACATAAATATATAAAGGCTGGTCTCTCAGTCAACGATATAAATAGGAACTTTAATAACGCATTTCCTGTGTAACGTTAATTTAATATTGCATGAGCAATTCACAATCTTCGTGTACAAAATCGCCGACAGCCGCCATTACAAAAATTCTGGCATTATAATAAAGATGAGCTAGGATGTCATACAAAAAGATGTATTGCTGAGAAAATCTAACACACACATTCACCGCCTCTCATTAATCATTGCACAAGGCTTGCGTGCTATGCGTTGCAAAAGTAAACGTAGTGTGCTCATGTCATGATACGACTTACGAGTTGAGAAAAATGGGCGGGCAATTTTGGACATAACGGTTGAGGTTAGGGCAAAGAGCACGTCATAGGAAATGGAATGAAAATCTTTTTTCTTTTTTTTATGGCAAAGACATTCAAACCTAAAGCCTAAGCACACAACGTTATTAAGTTTAACATACCTACCGTCGACGCGCGTTTGTAACGATGTAAAGTCGCGATACACACGAAAGTCGGGGTCAGACCCAATCTATACACATAGAAGTAGTAGTAGGAAAAAAACGTGATGTGCATAGGCCATAAAATTTTACCGATGTCTCATATGGATGAAAATCTATAAAGACTATCTACTTAATACCTAAATCAATAGTGTTTCATTATTTTTGATAAAAAATTGACATTTCTAAACTTTGGTATTTTGAGTTATTTACGAAATAATTTCATAAGAATCGAATTTTCATTGAAATTTTCAACCTTTTCTTTTAAATTAACCAGATATTTTCCTTGCCGGTATTTTCATGGACTCTACCTTCTATTGACGCAACACTATTACGTTAAGAAGATGTGTAATTCATCATGTAACTAAAATTATCCAGTGTATCATCAGCCTTAAAGATGTTCCAAATTATGACTGGCAAGTCAAACCACTTTCGCCGAAATTACTCCGGTTGTTTTCGTCGCGTGCGCACGTCGTAACATCAGCTGATGGCGACCAAAGTCTACATTACATGTTCTAATTCAAATTAAAATACAAATAACCTAAGTACGCTGTATTTTTCAGTTTTAGGAATCCTGTAATGTATCGCTATGCATCAGGAAATTAATATTTTATAGCCTATATTATTTCTATTAATATTAGGTATTATCCTCATCGAATTATGTGTTACATACTTCTGAAACGAACCTTGTTTTTAGTCCAATGTTTTCAAGAAGGCCACTTGTCGACGTATACGCCAGTTTCGATAAAAAGAAACAAAATGTTGCTGGCTGAAAAGAAAAATGCACAATGGCATAAAACGGAAAAAAGATTTGCTTGCTTTAAAAAAAACTTTGACGTTTAACACTTTTCCCGCCAATTTTCATCAGAAAAACACAATTGAAATAATAAAATGCATCAGCGAACGGAGATTTTTTTTACCGTTGAATATTCAAACTAATTTAACCACCTCGTTCAGACATCTGAAATATTGAAAAAGTAGACCGTTAAATTAGCATTCACTCGTCCAGCTTTAAATAAACATCAATTAAATTGTGATTTGTTTTTGTTTCAGAATGTACGAGTTGCAACGACGACGACTTGGGTGTCACGCGGTGGACAATGCCTCTACTCAAGTCGGGGGAGAAGCGATATTACTTAGGCATATTTTTCAAGGTAAGCTATAAAATAATCATACGTACGTGATAATTTTTTTTTAGAAAAAACTAGTCACAATGTCAGGCTTCGTCAGAGGTCGGCTTAAGATAAATAATTAATTAGGACTTTCAAAACTCTAGTTTAAATTAATATTCAATTGAATAATAATATCTTGAACACTAGAATGATACTGTTGCGGACAGCCGCTCGGGCGTGCGGAAATAAGAAAAACCTTCGGATTAAAATGAAGATATATTCCTGCAAAATATGCCCACAACGGCTATCAAAAACATATGAACTTCAGCACTAAACAAAAGGTATCAAAAGTAATAAAAAAGTATAAAAAACATAGACAATATAAAAAAGAGGTTGGTCCACCAATCGGTTCCCAACAGATACTATACTTACGGCCTACAATTAAATAGTTTTATCAAAGAATAATTATACTAGGTTCTTCTTATCGATTTATTAAATATTGAATAACTGAAATTATCAATTCAAATGAATTATTTACACGTAATATTGTTCCTCGTTCTGTATTAACAAAAAATCAAGCTAATATGGATCCAAAAGGTCTAACTACTTTTTTACCATAAATTAACTAGTTAGTCTAAATTGAACCCTACTGAATATTTGACATGACTAATGACAAGTCAGACTGACCGTGAACTTTCAGTAGTAACAAAAAAAGTATCCGTTTGAACCTTTAAATAACTACTTAATCTTCACAGGTGTGAAAAAGTGAATTGTATCTTTGTAATTTATCTACCACTCAATTGATAATATTCAAATTAATATTAATCAAACGTCCGCAATCTGAAAAAATAATGTCCTTGTATTTGAGGCTGACAATATTAATCACGCAATTTTCTAATATAAATACAGGGTGTGCAAGGAACAAGTTTGAAAAGTAAAACGTACCATACCTCTTAGGTGACAAAACAAAGTTAAATTCACCAATTTTCATTTAATTAACAAATCAATATTCAAAGTTCCATTTTTAGTACTGAAAATAACTTTCATTAGATGTCATTGTGTTTAACTTGAAATACCTAGTTAGTTTTTCGTTGCTGGCATAAAATCTAAAGTTGTTGTCTACACACCCAGTATTTATTTCAAATATTTTTCCGTAAGATTAATATTTTAGAATGTAATAACAATATCGTATTCAAGTTATAGATACACCTACTTACGATCAAATAACTAAGAACAAAAACTAGCACAAAAATGTAACTCTACCTACGCAGTAGAATGCAAAAAATCCTGTACTTATTCACTTTGTAGACACATAAAATGTAAGTAGGCATTTAATAAATTTTAATTTGCCGTTTTTCAATAAAGCTAAGTAGGTGATTTCCCGGTTTTATAACATCTTAACCATTAGTAAACATAATAAATCTTACTTTTTACCATTTTACTAAATTTTCAGTCAATTTATTTATTTATTACGTTATGTACTTAACCCTTCTGTTTTATGTGTCAATAGTTCGGGTAAATTACGTAGACCCCCGACCACGTGACCTCAATCGCATTTATTTATATCTCGCAAAATATTTGTCAAACGAAAACAAGAAAAACGCGTCATCATTACAACATCGGCGCGTACGCATCCCACGTGACGCAACATCGCTTAATCGATTCGGCTTTCTCTTTCACTCAGATGCAAAAGTAATAGCACAACAGAGTTTTAAAGTAGTAGACTCACTTTTACCTGTAAACGGTAGAAGTAATCTATTTTAATTTCTAATATTATTTGCAGACTTTATCAGGGTCTTTGTTACATTTTCATGTCTCTACCGATAATGAACTTAATGAGTGACTAGAACTTCATTTCAATTACTTTTTTATAGGGTATTAACTTGTAGAAGACTGAGTGAAGAATATGTAGTCAAATAATATCTTATTAATGTTGTTATCAACTAATTGGCAACAGTTTTGCTTTCTCGAATTA